CTGTCCTTCAGTGAAGTTTTCCAACTTTTGCTAAATTTCTGGAACTTTTGTGATCTCTCAATTTTTATGAAATTAGAACGAAATAATTAATATAGGGGAAATGGCTCTAATGTTGGCCTATGGATCTAAGATTGGGCCCATCGCTAAAAATCTGCTATTTAGCCATTTTATCTAGTTGAACGCGTCATTGGGATGGTCCTAATGGATATTTTTGGTTGCTATTGAAAATTTAGTCGATTGCTGAATTTATGTATGGGTACAAACTAGGGGCATTTAGGCTGACATTACATCCATTTCCCCTAGTTCTATGATTTTCACTGAACTTCTCAAGATTTTTTCTGAAGTTCATGAAACTTTCCTTAAATTATCGACACTAATTTAAAACTTCTTCAATATTCTAGACTTTCCTAGTGTTCGTAATACTACCTAAACGATTACAGAATTGCTTTAAAATTCTATAGACCGCCCTGAATTCATCAGTATTTTTTAAGAACCCGCAACTTTACTGAAATTAATTAATTTGCCTTGAAGTTTCAACAATTGTCCTTAAGTATTATAACCATTGTAAACGTTCACTAATTTTCTCTGAACTAATCTATGATTACCTAAGGTTCTCTAAATTTGTTTAATAATCCGGCAAATTTTCTGATATTTATTCATGATTCTCTGACGCTTTTGACGTTTTTGGATCACTCATAGAATTCTTGGAATACCCAAATGCAAATTTACTTAAGTTAATGGGATTATTCTGAAGCTATCTAATCGTCCTCGAAGTACTTGGAACCTCGCTGAATATCATGGAACTATCTAAAAATATCTATGTTTATTATAAGTTCACTGGAATTTATTGAAGATATCGCTGTTTGCTAAAAGTTGTCGCATTTTTTTTTATTAATGGAACTTCGTTGATGTTCTCTAATCAACTTAAAACCTTTAAAATACTCACACGTTTTCCGGATGTTCATATAATTTTTATCACGTTCCAGAAATTCTCTCGGAGCTTTGCTGAAGTTTCCGGAAATTCTGAGTTTCTCGAAACTTCTTTAAGCTTTCTACAATTTCCTAGAAATTATTTGAACTGCCTTTGATTTTCTGATCTGATTGATGTCCTCGAAGCTTCTCTAAAGCTCTCAATTCTATTGAAGATCTCGGTTCAGCACAGAAATAAATGGAAATCCCGAAAACACCTTTAAATTTCGCAGAAATTCTCTAGACTTCTGTGAAGTTCCTGAAATATTTATGAAGTTTTCATAAATTCTCTGAAGGTCTCTGTACTTTTCACCGATTCAACAACCGCGATGCACGATGTTCGGTTCCGGGTGGCGCGAGCCATCATCGACAGTAGGTTGCTTTACGGGACGGAAATTACTTTTATCGCCTCCGAGAAGCTGGTTAGAACCCTAGCACTGGTCTACAACAGCTACATCCGCATCATATATGGTCTCCTGCCATCCACTCCAGCAGACGCCGCATCCACCGAAGCGTCATCTTCCTTTCCGGTTCTGCAGTGGCCAAAGTCCATTGGCATGGAGAGAAAAGTTGGCAATCTTCATGAATCCAATAGGACAATCGGATCAAGAACCGCTTCAAAGCAGGGGATGCATACGTGATTCTGCGCTGATCGGTCGCCGAGTTGCTTGGGTCCAACTATGTCGACCACGTACACCGGTACACCGACGGCTCCCGATCGATAAACGGAGTAGGTATTTTCGGAGACGGTATTGCTGAAAACAGCAGTCTTCCTCCACAGTGCTCGGTTTTTTCGGCCGAGGCTGCAGCGATCTTCCATGCCGCTACGACGCCAGCCAACAAACCGATACTTATCTTAACCAACTCACACAGCGTCGTTCAAGTGATCACCTTGGAAGCACCAAAACACCCATGGATCCAGACGATTATCAAGTACGCCCCACTGAACACCGTGTACACATGGATTCCCGGACACTGCGGAGTGCCAGCTATAGAGTCTGCTAATCACCTTGCCGGAGCCAGGACATCGGGTCCCATACTCACCCACAAGGTACCCTTACAGGACGTCAGACGATGGATAATGCGGACCATTCGAGCGGCATGGGAGACCAAGTAGTTCCTCAACAGAACTGCCTTCATCCGCAAAGTCAAAGAGTCAACTGAAGCATGGAGCGAACTGGACAACCTGAAGGATCAACGCGTGATTTCGCGGCTTCGGACCGAGCACAGCAACCTCTACTATAACTATGTTGGCCTGCCGTTCCGCAAAAGCTGCATCATCTGCGGGGTACCCTGCACCGTCGAACACATCCTGTGCAACTGCCCGGAGTTCCAAAATCTTCGGAAGTCGCTCTGCCTAACTTCCAGCATCAGGAATCTGCTCGGGAATGATACTCCGGCCTCGACAGCACTAGTAACCTTCTTAAAAGACGCCAAAATCTTCCACTTGGTATAACAGGAATTTCTTTCGACCGTCGGGACATCTCAGCTGGATGAATTTCCTCTATTGGGCCCATGCCAGCTGAGCTCTGTTTTGTTTGGATTATTCGTTTGTAGCTTATTTTAAATCATTTTATTTTCTGTTGTCCCTTTGTTTCACTATTTTATATATTTTCATTTTTTTTCCCATATAAGTTGAAGAGCCTTTCTCCGGAGATGAACCAGCCATAGGCTAAAAATCTCCTCAATAAAGAATCAACAAAAAACCCTGTACTTCCCTGAAATTCTCGGAAAATCCTATTTTTCCAACTCGGCGTGTGAAAACGTTGGATTCTCTTGCTGCGCGAGCAAAATTTTAACGCGCTGCTCCTATTGCTTGGACGTCATTTTGAAAACTGGAGAGCAAAAGGTGGAAACTCATCATAGCAACCATTGTCTATACACTAAACTTCCAAATGCAGCATTTCAGGGTTTTTTTTAATGCATTTTTAACAGAAATACACCAATTTGAAGTTGACCAATTTTTGCGCGTTCCAGACTTTAAATCTTGAAATAAATTCACGCTAAAAAAAGTTAAAAATAGTAAATGATTACAAGAAAATATGACTTTAGTTACTTGGCCTTTAAAAGGAGACTTTTAAGTGACTGGCTTGAAAAAAGTGACTCGCTACCAGCCCTGGAGATTGATACAACAGCGATACGAGATCTGCTGGAAGGTGTGAAACGTAAAGCCTGACATTTTGCTTTTGTAAAATCGGAAGCCTAATCAATAAATTTTCTAGTATTTTGTAGTAAATGAAGTTCAATAAAGTTTGATCATTTATACAATAACATAATCAGTGTTCATTTAATCATGACCAATTTTTGACCGTTCCACCCTTTACTCTATTCTAAAGTCTGCGAGAGGGAATTTAGATTGTGTACAACAAAATGTCCAATGTAACACTCATTAATTGTGTCATTGGACAAACATTTTTCGAGTCAATGATTTCTGAAAATATGTTTAACATTTTCCATATGCCCTTTTCATAGGCTCGATTAAAAATGGTGATCTGAAGATGCATAATTACGTTTTTGGTCATGAGGAATGTTTCTGAAAATATTCAGCCAAATCAAAAAATACGAAAATGAATGGATTTGTGAATTCATCTGGAATCGCTCCACAAGAGAACATATATTTTAAACAACAATAGATAGAAAAGTTGCAACAGAAAAATAAAAAATTGCTATAGAAAACACATGTTTGAGCAATAAAAACCTTGAATCGTCGACTACATGACATAGGGTATACGTCCCTAACCTCGGTCTAATATGCAGCCATAGATTACGTTTTTAATCATAACTCATCAATTAATTTACCTGCAAACGATATTCTACTGCTAAATGGTATGCTTAGATATGCTTATCAAGTCGTTTGCTATCAGGAACCGCAAAAAGTTGAAAAACTTACTTTTTTTAAGACAAAAACTCACCAGGGAAATGTATGTAATAGGGTATACGTCCCTAACCTCGGTCTAATATGCAGCCATAGATTACGTTTTTAATCATAACTCATCAATTAATTTACCTGCAAACGATATTCTACTGCTAAATGGTATGCTTAGATATGCTTATCATGTCGTTTGCTATCAGGAACCGCAAAAAGTTGAAAAACTTACTTTTTTTAAGACAAAAACTCACCAGGGAAATGTATGTAATATCGGTCTATTGTCCCCAAATTGGGTCTATTTATGGATGCAACTTCGTCCTATCCTGTTTGATTCTCAAAAAAAACGCTCTTGGTAACGTTTTCTTATGTATTTTTTTTTATCACTATCACTGTTAACTTAATACTCTTCATTCCTCAAAACATTTCTTAGAGAAAATTTTACGAAAACTACATTAAATCACTCAAGTTAAAAATTAAAAATTAAAAATTTCGCTTATCGTCTTTCGACCGCAGAATATCTAAATCAAAACATTGTGATGTTCATTATACAGATTTGGCAGAAAAAATCTCCCTTCCTGTTCGTTCCTTATCATCCAAATGCAAACCACATTGTTGACGTTACTCTTATTGCTATATGCTGTCAAATGAATTTCATGGGCCAAAGTTAGGAACATAGAAAAGAAATGTGTCCCTAAAGTTGGGTCCATGATTTACTTGTGAAAACGTTGTTAAACAATTAAAATAAACATAAAATATTCAAACAGTAACTGTGAGTTTTACGTCTAGTGTGTATTATCAGGTAATTCCATTCAATAAATGCCATAATCAGGCCATTTGATGATCGTCAGTGCAACCTTCCCATCTTAACCTTAGAAGTCATGGCGGCTAAAAACTCCGAACAGAGTGATATTCTCAACCAGTTTTATTACTTACGAGAGCTGAAAATGTATTGAAATGTTGTGATATAAATTGATTTGTGTGTGGTACACATTTATCAATCATCAGTGATCAATATTTTCCTTATTTTTGGTGTAATATTCCTTAATTAATTATTTATTTGCGTGATAGGCCGAATGAAAGGACTAGACCCACATTACATACCGTAACCCTACTACAAAATATTCTCTTTAACCTTTTCTCCCACGTCTTTTCTACATTTCAGGTGCCGGACATAGTACGTTCGATCTCCACCAGCCGCATCCTAGCTTTACGTCAACAAACTCAAGTGCTTTGGGAGCGTTATTTTAGTTCCATTGAGAAAATAGTTTTTACTACGTTCGAGGTAAGTTGGATTGCAATTTTTCAGCTCCAATATTTCCCCTCCCCTTCATCCACCATCCACCTCCTCCACTCAGATTTGTGGACAGTCCACGGTAAACTGACTTGCAACCAAGTATTGGAAACATTTCACTTGTTTGTTTATACCTACTTGAGCTCTCGTTGGCAGGGAGAGCGAAAATCTCCCGACTCGATTCGAAAAGTTTCGCTCAACTTGTAAGTTAAAAAGTTTTTCGCTCCCACGGTGTAGCTTTGAGACTGAAGGTAAGTTAAAAGTCGACCCGAAAAGCGGCAGTGCAGACTAGCAGAATTTTACCGCGGGACGTAAATTTTTTTTTCGTGATGGGCTAAACTTTTCAAAAAACACGAATTGCAATCGCATCCCTTTAGAGGTGGTGCAGGTCCTGCACTGCACTTCATATGTTGTTTGGATGCACTCACACACACACACACACTCACTGACGGTCGGTTTGGTTGGCTTGTGGGTGGGCGAGTGGAAAATGCAACTGGCAGAGCCACAACCATACCGAAACTTTATTTCTTGCCACTTATTTCTGGCAGGTGTTATTTTCAGCGACTTTATCTTAACCACTTTTTCTGCTGTCAAATTGGGTTTCTCTGTTCTCGAATGTTCCTCCCCCCGCCGCTTTAACTTTTTACCAACAGAGCTAGCAGCTGCTCACGAATCGCAAAACTTTGCTTGGTAATTGTATTTTTCGTGTGTCATTTTTCATCACACCCTCGCCATCCACCTTCGACAGCCAGTGAGCTTCGGAAAGTTCGAAAATGAATTGAATTGGTTCGACGCGAACAAATCGAAGCAAAAACGTTTCACCATTGTGTCAACAATTTGTATAGGATAATTGATGGTACTTCTAGTTCTTTTGCCAGAGAGAAATGTTCGTGATTGCCAATCGCTGCTGCTGCTGCTGCTGCTCCCCATGGTGATGGTGGGCGTATTACATGGAAAATGTGCTCTTCAGCATATCAACCAGGAAAGCACTCGAGCAAAAAATATTAATTTTGGCGATAGACGAGATCCTTAGCGCTTGGCGAATCCCAGAGATCAAACATTTCAGCTGTGCTTCGATTCGAATTCAAACAGAAGGAGTACAAATTTGTTCAACGGATAAATATTTCCATTTCCGTTTTGCATATGCCTCAATCAACGCAACAACGAACGGTATCAAAGACGTTTCGTTCAGATCAGACTTATCTTTTGCATTTACTGTTTACATTTCCGCAGAGCGTGGAGGATGGTTCGTAGGAAAAATGTATTGATTTCGTCGGACGAACTTCAAAGCACAAAAGTGAAGATGATGTTAATTTGAATCGGTTTGCTGATTCCTGAAGCGATGAACTAGACTAGAGTATCGTTGATTTGGTTAAAGTTGATTATTTAGCATAAGCTCGTGCTTTCAGGTGTAGCTAAACGAAATTCTAACATTTATTTTTGTCAAAATTGGAACGAAACATTCCATTAGTTTTTTATCAATAAGTTAGGCTCAAATGTCCAGAATACTCCTCGGAGCCGAAAACCAATAATTTTTTTTTGACGTAGACTTCGTCTAACGGGAAGGTACATAGGGTAAATTGAAAATCTAAAATTGCGACCGTCACGAAAAGGTGTTAAGTTTTGAACGCTTATAACTTTGTCATTTATAGATGAAATCATACAAATCAAACACACCAATCGATAGGAAATAACTCTAAAATTTTGCTGAAATAGATACTTTTATAATTTCCCCAAACTTTTTGAATGGCGTGGTGACTGTTGCCAGCAGCAAGCAGGAGCAAGTCAGCGGTTGGAGGTGGAATTTTTTCCATCTGCTGTCGTGATGAGTGGATCACTTTGACCACCAGCGGTGAGATGGAAGAAGACTCATCTCTTCAACGAGCTGTTCTTGCATTAAGCAAATCCGAACCTCCCCATAGCATCCGATCCGACTGGTGGTTTTCTACAGTATCGATAAAAATCATTTCTTCTACACTCAACTTTGCTGAAAATGAAGACAACCTTAACAGATAGACCAACTACCTACATGAATTTGAATTTTGACATATCACCATTCTTTTGATAAAGTGAAAGTGGCAGCACTGGCACATGAAGTGGTAGTGAAAAGAATAGCTCATCAATTTAAATGAAAATTTCAAGTGTTTTGATGAAAATTGGCAAGGTTTCAATAAGTGCGCTGGCAAGTGGTTTGATAAAAAAGATTAGTGATGGAGTCCCAGAAGTGTGTGAAAATGTGAAAAGAAGGTTTAGAGCAGATTGAGAAAAGGAAAAAAATGGCGAGCAGCAGAAGGAAACGGATGGCTGAATGACGGTCCAATGCGAATAGGGAACAAACGGTTGCGTCCTCTGCGTAAGATGACCAACAGATGGAAAGAGAGGGAAAGGATGGTTTACCCCCCGAACAAAACCTAAAATAGTTTTGTGTTGAGTTAGTTGCGTTAAATGTAATGGTATTCTAATATTTGAATGGGTAAAGGTCTGAAATGAGGCATTATACCGGTTGGGGTGGATTGTTTAAGAAGAAAACAAAAGTGAATAAGAGTAGGCACGAGTTGCTATCAATACGATGGTGAGGTTGGAGGATCGTGCACAAATATATTACACGGAAGGGGAGTGCAGCTCCATTTTGGGTTCGGTTTACTCAGGAATGGGTAGGGTTTTACTCGGGTTTGAGTGAATGTCGATCATGTTCTTATAGATTTTCCGGAAAATCTGCAGCAATGTGAGTGACATTTGATCAAATTTGGGTGGACTTTTGCTCTATTGCGTGTAGAAATAGGCAAGACAACAATCAATTGAAGCGTTTGTTGTAATGCCATCTAGGGTCAATTTTTCATTTGCCATAAATTTTAGATGTAAGTAGGGTATGAGAATTCAGTGCTGTTAATTCTCAAAATCAATTGAACATTTTTGATGAAAATGAGAAAAGCAGCTATCCGCTATCAAAGGGGACCTCCTTCGAATGGGTGATATCAGTTGCTTAGTCATTTGACGAAGGCATGGATCATTCTCATTTGAGAAACGCTTGATATGATTCAATTGAGTGTAACCTACACACAAACGGAGCTCTATCCGACATTCCAGTGAAAAAGCTAAGCCAACCCGACACCAACCTGATTTTTATTAAAACCCAACCCGATTCTGACCCGACATTTACCCGACATATATCCAAAATTGATGCGACAACAACACGACATTGACCTTAAATTTGCTTTACATTGATCCGACATCAGGTCGACTTGCCTGCTCCGGACCATTTTGCTGGGTTTCTTCGTATATGAAATGATAGTGAGTGACTCAATTGACAGCGACAATGAGCTTCGAATGAGAAAGGAGCTCTTCAAATTATGATCATGTGATAATTCGTCTTCACAGAATTGATTTAATGGTTGTATTGGTTCATCTTGAATAGAATGATATGAAAATTAACAGCACTGATGAGAATTTAAGAGGGAACAGGGGGTCAAACAGTGCTGACAGATAACCGTTAATATTGAAATCAACTTTTGATACTAGGGAGAAAATCCAAAAACGAAGTTTGGATTTTTCTTTAGGTCGGTGTGAAAAATGTGATCTGTGAAAAACATCGTTACGACATGGAAAATTCCTTGATCCTTTGGGTCGTTTTGCAAGCCGCGAAGTGATTTTTATTATAATTTTGTGTTAATTTTGTTTTTTTTTCTTTTTGTTAAAATGAGAAGAGCTGGTTAAACTACAGTTAGTCCTGATTGGCAAACGTGGTAAGAAGAAAACAGAAGAGAACGAAGATCCGTGTACGGCGTTCGTTGCGGACTGTGTGATGAAGACGAAGCGTCTGGCGGAGGACAACAGACAGCAGCTAAAGGGCTACTGAAGAAAATCGTGCAATAGTAAAGTCCGGAAAAGTTAATTATCACCAGTCAAGCAGACCAGTTTTGAGAGATCATTCCATTTTAATCTATAAATTAGGAATGTGGGAACATCGGCAGGCATTTGGTGCGATCCTTCGATTATACTATATTATATAAACCATTCATTACATCACATATGATTGTTAAATTCACTCTTCCATAGCTCGGAGCGTTTGGTATGGTATGTCCAAGCATCCTTCTAACCTATCGCGTTATCTAACCTAATAATTTTCCATTCTGCTTTCTCGTATCAGCGTTTGTATTAGATTAGATTGGATTCAGACTGCTGTCGATCTCGATGGAACCTTGAAGACACCTCAGCGGGAGTTCTGCGATGCCATCTTTCGAACATGTCATCTTTCGTACATGTCATCTATAATCTTGAATCTGTTAACTTTATTGCTTCTATTTGCATAATGATTTTTTGTTGAAATTTGTAATTGAATGTGATTCAAGTTAAAAATCATAGTGGTTTTGTGCCTACGGCAGAAGAGGTAGTAAAATTATTTTCACTCCCGTGGGTGTTCCCTTCTATCATATTTCTTTTAATCAGCTACGGGTGTGACAATGATGGTGAGATCACCAATACCAATGCTACGGACGCCAGGAAGGCAGCTCCCACACCTGAACCCTACCTATCGATCTATCAACTCATGGACCGTGGACCAACGGTTTTACTTCCTTTCCGAAGGAAAGCTAGATCAGAGATTTCAGAAAATGTCGGCGGCGCTGACTGGGATTGAACCCAGGACCTTTCGGGTGAAAGGCAATCACGATTGCCACTACACCACCGTACACGAATTTATCGTTCAAATTAAATATTATGAGTTTCGCGAATCCTCCACCATCGGATAACATTGCCATTTCTATACATTCTATCGAACTTGTATGCAACATTGTTTGAGATTTGGCAAGCAATCTTTTTTTTTCACAGGAACATTTATTTAAAGAGCTACCCAAACAGAGGGTGATAAAATTATCTAAATTAAGGCTTGTTATGTAAGAGGCACGATAGCCTGAACAATGCTTAAAAAGCAAATCAAAACATTGAACGTCGAGTGAAAGTGGAACTTAATGAAGGTCTAAGTACTTTTTCGG